GGGCCTGGTCTGCACTGGTTTGGCCTAGCAGGGCCTGGTCTGCACTGCTTGGGCATCTTTTCAAAGAGTGTCTCACTCAGAGTCTCGAGGGATTTTTAACCTCCTGAATGAAAGCACGTGCACAGGCTGGAGGTGTTCTGGTGAAGGGCTGACCAGTGCATGAGCTAAACCTTCCCACACTTTTATATGTTCTGCAGGAAGATTTTCCAACCTCAAGGAACTGGAGCACCATGGCAGCTCAAAGTAAACTGTTACGCAGTAAGATAAAGATATAACTAAATACATCAACATATATTAATAGTTTCAATGTGAAACAAGTTTGAACACTTTTTATGAAAGAGCTTTGCTTGTTTTCTTTAACATTTAAAACGATGCCTGAAAACTGTATATGTTTTCTAAATTTTACCAGTTCAAAAAGTAAACTGGAAACAACTTGGTGATTATTAGTGTTCTGTTCAATAAAAATGTAAAGTCAGTGTGAATGTAGGATTATTAATTTCTGCCTTGATTATCAAAATGTTTTTTATGTTTTCACAGTCAAAGGACTAAAAGGGTGGATGGGAAATGTCCAGTTATTTTCATTTTTATGCTTCAGAATGTAAAAAAATTAAAATACAAAAATCACACAGACACATATAATGTTGTTTAAGTAACATTTCATTACAGAAAGAAAAGGGTCACTGAGAGAACTTGAAACTGGCAAAAGTTAAAACAAAACAAAATCAACTAATAAAAATCAGCCCCTGGTTTTGAACTTTGTTCCAACAGAACTGTTAAACAACCAGTGAAGGTGGTCAGGACAAAAAGCATGTGACCACAGGGACATGTCCTGTAACCAGCATCACAGCTGTCTTCAATCTGGTAACCAGTCAGTCTGCCTGTTTAAAAGATGAAAAGTTAGTCACTGTTGGCATCATGGTGTGCACCACAATACACAAAGCTAAGAACAGACTGGTCTCACGAGCTAAAAACAAAACGACTGAGCAGCATGTTCAAGGTAAAGGCTGTAAGACCATCACCAAGCAGCTGGAAGTTCATGAGACAGTAGAGAGGCATGTGAAGCCTCATGAAGCACTGAAGCTTTTCTGACATTGTGCCAGAAGAGTTAAAGCCTCAAGGCTTCAGTGATAGAGACATCTGGTGG